TTTGAAAGCATGTTTATGAGTGAGGAAACAACGTGTGTACAAAGTGAATTAGAAACTCCGAAAGAAGAGGAAAGAGGTAGCGAGATAAGTATAGATGAAATAATGAAAGCAATGAAAAGCATGAAAGCAGGTAAGGCTGCCGTATATGATAGAGTTTCACTCGAAATGCTAAGGGCTGGAGAGGAAATGGTGGCAGGCCCGCTGCACACCTTGTTTAATTTATGCTGGGAACTGAAGCGGGTACCGGTAGACTAGTGCAAAGCCGTGATAGTCCCAGTATATAAAGGAAAAGGGTCGCAGCAGGACTGTAAAAACTACCGTGGCATCAGCCTTCTTAGCATTGTGGGAAAACTGTATGCTAAGGTACTGATTGAAAGGGTCATGAAAGAAACTGATGGAAAAATTTGGGATGTGCAAGCGGGATTTAGAAAGGGAATGGGATTTCAAGTCTTCTACGCATGATCGCGGAGAAGTTTTTGGCCAAAAACCAAAAGGTTTTTGTGCGTTCATGGAGTTGGAAAGGGCCTATGAAAGAGTGGATAGGGATGTGCTATGGCAAACAATAAACTCATTTGGGTTGAGCGCTGGCTTGATACAGGCATTGGAGTCTCTTTATAGGGACTCTAGTGCTTGTGTTAGGATCAACGGGGTCTACTCGGACTGGTTTAACATCCATAAAGGTGTCAGACAGGGCTGTGTGGCTTCCCCGTGGCTGTTCAACCTATTTATGGACAGTTGTTTGCAAAATTTGAAAGTTGAAGAATGCGGAATAAGAATGGGTGAGTTAACCATCAAATGCCTTTTGTACGCCGATGATCAAGTTATTCTTGCGTCGTCGGCGGCCGAGTTGCAAATGATGGTTACATTAATGAACAGATCATTAAAAGAAAGGGGTATGAAAGTAAACGCAAGTAAGACGAAGGTTATGGTTTTTGAAAGAGAATAAAGTAAAACGATTTGTGAAATAAGAATAGAAGGGGAGTTGATCGAGCTAGTAGATGAGTTTGTATATTTGGGCTGCGTATTTAGCAGGGATGGGAGATATGATAAGTATATAGAACGACGAGTGAATGTGGGAAATAAAGTAAAGGGGGGCCCTGCACTCTATTGTGAAGTGTCAAAATGTGTCGAAAAAGGCACGTATGGCAATTCACAATGCTGTGTTGGTCCGTACTTTAACGTATGGTAGTGAAAGTTGGGTGTGGCAGAAGAAGCACGAAAGTAGAATGAACGCAGTAGAAATGCGGTCGTTAAGGAGTATGTTAGGGCTGAATCTGAATGACAGGATAAGAAATTGTGTAATAAGAGAAGAGTGTGGTTTGCAAGATGATGTTGTGACCAGGATTAAGAAACCACCGAAAGGAATGCTTCGGTGGTTTGGTCATGTGGAAAGAATGAATGAGGAAAGAGTGACAAAGAAAATTTATGTTGCAGAAGTGAATGGCAGAGTCGGAAAGAGACGTCCTAGGCGAAAATTTGTCGACCGAATTGGCGATTTATTGAAAACAGGCCAAATTAGGAGTACCCTTAACCGACGAGCATGTACGTGTAGGTGTATGGATGTTAAGGAGGCGAGAGAGGTGTGTCAGGATCGAGTGAAACGAGTGAAAAGTAGGGAAGTCTGTAGTCTCTGCCTACCCCTCTGGGTATCAGGCGTGAGTGTTTATGTTATGTTATGTTTTAAACTTATTTATTGTTTTCGCACAACAAATTTGCGGAGGAAGTTCGTTCCCTATGCAGATGCCCTTGCCCGCTAAAGAGTTCTTAAAGTATTTAGTTCGAATAGAATGTGGCACGAGTATAAGTTTTCCGGCTGACCATAGAACTCTGGTCTTTCGTAAGTTTTCCTTCAGATAGCTTGGAGTCACAGGAAAGTAAAGGTATATGTTTAATACTAAATAAATATTCAATAGTAAAAATATATAATAATTATACAAAAACACTCTTTGTTTCACAAACAATGGGGAAGAAACTTAACATTACGGTGGTAGAACCATGCTATAGTTAAATTATGGTTGAGGCACGAATGAGTCGGCTCTATAAATAAATAAATAAAATAATTGCCTTCGTAATGCTTGCAGTTATGTGTTTTTGATACGGCGCCATTTACGAATGCAGATTACTGACGTTCAGCCGGAATGATGCTACGATACATTAACTAATACAGCAGACAATGTCTAGCCTAATTATAGAACGACTACCTAGCTCCACTTTCTTTACGGTAAAATTTCTAGTCACAATGCAAAAGCTCTATTGTATTGCATTTGTTCGTTGTGAATGATCCTAAAAAATCAGCCTTATCAGTCGTATTATAGAACGCAAAAAGCTAATACATCACATAATGTGCATTACGACTGGTCATACTGGGTGACATATTTTTGTGAAATATCTATGCCATAGGCTTCTACTCCGTTCACATGTTACACCCTATTTCTTTCCAGACGGTAAAAAATGTCATCCAGTATAAAGTGTTTTCCACTACGAGATTGATCCACCACTGTGCATTTTACTTAGAGATTTTTTTCCTTGTACAACTCCTCTGTGGAATTGTTTACCAACGGCGATTTTTTCGGACCGATACGACTTAGGAACCTTCAAGAAAAGAGCTTAATCCTTTCTGAAAGGTCGGCAACGTACCTGCATGCCCTCGGTGTTGCGGTTTTTATGGTCGGTGGTTAGTCACTTACCATCAAATGAGTCGCAAGCTCGTTGCCTCCCTCTTTTATAAAAAAGCGATCACAGAGTCTACCTAAGGGTAAGTGTAACCTGTGGCCCATAGGCATCTCAACTTATTTTCAATTAAGATTATATCATTTTCAATTAAGATCATCTCGATTTATTTTCAATTAAGAATAAAAATGCGTAACGTTGTCACCTTTGAAGACTAGGACGAAGTGCCTCATTTCCAGTGACTAGGGTCTCCGGTTCTCTACACTCACCACACGAAACACAGCGGCATTGAGCTGCTATTTTACGTTCGTATTCTGTGAAAGTGTGGATTTTCCCCGGTCGAGCTGACCCCATAATATAGTTCCAGCGTGGCTCTACTACATATTATAGAAAAACAATTAGCAAAAAATTTAAATTAAATAATTTCCACATAATTCAATAACTTCTGAAGTACTGAAAAAGAGGAGGCCTGTGCTACGTGGGTGGATGAAATTACTTTCACTTTTAAATTGTACTCGTAAAGTCTGTAAAGTTTAACTGCTGCATATTCTAAATTTCTAACGATGAGAAGAATTCTCGAGAAGACACCTCGCATCTTTAACCCTGCTGACCGTTGCCATTCTCGGTATTTCTACGTCTTGCATAAACGAAATAGGTAGTTATGCCGCCAATTACCGCCAGCTATATGCTCTTTGGTGTTTTACAAAGTGGTTTGTTATGAAATCTACGGTATAAAATGGAGTGAGGAACTGTTATGACCACTTCTTTGCATAATTATAATATTAATAAAATGATAAATTCAGTTTCTTCTTTTTGTAATTAATCTGTTTTCTATTACAGCCTATTAAAGTCCTCTGCTGAACATAGGCCTCCTTCATAAGTTGCTTCATAGAAGAGATTTTGACATAGTTGCCACTCTTGGCAAACAGGTTGGCAACCCCTGTTTTTTATTATATTGAGTTCTTATCAGGAAGATGCTGCTAAACATCCGTTGTTTCAGTTTCCCTTTTTCGCCTATTACGTCACCCACTGGAAGATGTGAACTAGTGGATATTCTTACACCGAAACTACTTGGATATTTTTTTCGTTTGTTTATGTCTTTTTGTATATCATCAGAAAGCTGATTTAAAATCAATTACTTAATTTGACCCGAATTGACATTTATGAAAGCGAGATAATAGGAACGCGGTCAAATAAATATATATAAAAATAAGGATGTTTCATTCTTTTTTTCACTTAGTGTAATTTGTTTTGTTAGCACAAATTGATTAGCAAATGGATTAGCAACCAATATTTTATTCAATTGAAAAGGCCAAGGAATAGTCTTCTAGAGAGAAATGCAGCCACCATTCTTGTTACTATATCGCGGGGTGTAGGACTGTGTAATAATTTTAGTTAAAACGTTTACATTATACAAATACGATTATGTTATACTTTTTTGGTTTCAATTTTTAGTATTTTATTGTTATGAATATTCCATATTATTATTTTAAGTAAATTCAAATTTATTTCCAAATTTCGTGAATTGCAAACACATCATAAATCTGCCAACGCATCTGCATTTTGACACGTAATGGAGGATTTTTATAGATGTCTATCGGTCACAGAATTTACTTACCATCGGGTGGACTGTGTGTTTGTTATCTTGTAGGTTATATGATAAGAGTGACACCTACTTTAAAATAATATAAACTTAGGTTACGTAGTAGTGAGAAAACCACGTGACGTTTTTAAATACTTCAAGTATTTAAATCAAGTCATATGAACCGCCAATGCAATAATGAAATTATAAGCAGCAATAAAATGCACGTGTTCTTTTATATAACCTTTAATTAGCCTACGATTATTGTTAAAATTTATACTTAGTATTTGTATGCTATTATTAGAAATGTTCTTAGGTATTTCCTTATAATTGGTAGCTATTCTGTGCTTTATTATTATTGTAGCACGAATGTTCTACAACTATAATAAAGCTGCTGGTGGCTGCGGGCGTGGGAGAGCTTAATGCTGCTGTGTTTAATATAACTGTAAAGAACTGAAGACGCTACTGGAAACTAAATACTCCATCTTACTTATTACAGGTAACAACGCATTCACATTTTGATTCTTTATTGAAGATAGATGTAGTTGTCTATGGGCCGTAACCCGTAACATCCACTTACCCTCGGGTGGATTGTGTGCTAGTTTGTCACTTTTATTATACAATAAACAATTACAAGATATAATAAATTGTGTTTTTCTTAAAAGTAAATACACTCTGCATTAATAAATCCTAATATATTGCGTATTAAAATAATATTTACAATTCACAATTTAAGTTGTTTTGTTTTTCAGAGTTTTTTCACCTTAAAGATAAATACAATTTAGTATATCAATTTTTCGATGTTAAAAAAATGAAGCTTCTCGGATAAAATATCGACTAAAAATGAAGATAAATATTTAAAAAAATATTTATTGATTTAGAATTATACATTATATGCTAGTTGCAAAATTGGCCTCATCTTGAGACCAATTATCATAAAAAAGAACTTCAAGCTGCCCAAGAAGATTAGTCAGATTCTTTTTCTTTTTAATCTGGATTTTCATTCTTTTAAGCACTATTTACCAACGAATTTAAAAGTTATTAAAGCGGCAGTTATTTTATTATTTATAGTTCTTTAAAATCGGCTTTTACTTTTGATATAAAGTTTAATTTTCAGCATATATTTTATACGTGGTAGAGCCAAGCTGCAGTTATATTATTAGTATGCTAGGTACGTAGTTGTAGCACGAATGGGTGGGCTCGACCGGGGAAGGACCACGCTCTCACAGAATACCAGCGTGAAATAGTAGCTTAATGCCGCTGTGTTTCGTATGGTGAGTGTAGAAAACCGGAGACCCTTTTCACTGGAAACGAGGCATTCCATCTTAGTCCTCACGGGTGACAACACATCTGTATTTTGTTTTGTAATCGAGGATACATGTCTATGGGCCAATTAACATCAGATGGACTGTGTGCTCGTTTGTCACCCTATCCTATAAAAAATAACAGTATGAAGCACCACATTTTTTTTCAGTTAAACTCACCTCTTCGCTATGCACATTTGCCACTGTAATCATTTGCTGTTCAGCTGGTTCCTCTGCTGGTAGAATTTCATCCTTTTGAAAGAAAAGATTTATTTATTTATTTAAAAAATGAGTAATAACATATTTAATCTAAAACTAATAATATTCATACACACCTCGTCTATATCATACAATGTGTTGTTTTGCTCTTCAGTTCCTCCAAGAACTATAACTTCAACCTGTAAATTAATAAAAGTTAATAAAGCAAAGTTGCATCATTATATTTGGTACATACAATTCAAAAACTTACGTGTTGTGGGACCGCATCGCTGTCATAAAGATTTTCTTCTATAACAAAATCTGTTGGGCAGAGTTCCACTATCTTTAGGTGATCATCACCTGGCGATGTTGGCCTTTGTCCACCACCAGTAGCTTGCAAAGCTCTTCTATGTTGTGCCACAGATTTCTTTGCAGCCACTTTTGTTCGTCTCCAGAAACCCTTTAACTGGGTGATCTCTCTGGATTTCCCAGTGAGTTCCTTAAGACTGCAATAAAAAAGAATACCAATTTTATTATTAATTTAACCTTCTTAAAAATATATTTTGGTGTAACAGAAAAATATAGACTTATCATCTATTTGATCAACATCTATACTAACTAAACAAATCAGTCTGACCACACAATTACCTCTTTTGTACTCTAATCCACTCCAGATTCTTTCTTTTATTTGTATTAGTGTCGGTAAATTTACTCTCTATAATAGGCGCTGACTCCCTCATTATTTCCAAAAACAGATCCTGAAAGTAGTAAATATTTAGGTAATTAAAAACGTAACAAACAAAACAAGCAGTGTTATTATAAATATATAAAAGGTAGTATAAAAGAACTTCAAGCTGTCCAAGAAGATTAGTCAGATTCTTTTTCTTTTTAATCTGGATTTTCATTCTTTTAAGCACTATTTACCAACGAATTTAAAAGTTATTAAAGCGGCAGTTATTTTATTATTTATAGTTCTTTGAAATGGCTTTTACTTTTGATATAAAGTTTAATTTTCAGCATATATTTTATACGTGGTAGAGCCAAGCTGCAATTATATTATTAGTATGCTAGGTACGTAGTTGTAGCACGAATGGGTGGGCTCGACCGGGGAAGGACCACGCTCTCACAGAATACCAGCGTGAAATAGTAGCTTAATGCCGCTGTGTTTCGTATGGTGAGTGTAGAAAACCGGAGACCCTTTTCACTGGAAACGAGGCATTCCATCTTAGTCCTCACGGGTGACAACACATCTGTATTTTGTTTTGTAATCGAGGATACATGTCTATGGGCCAATTAACATCAGATGGACTGTGTGCTCGTTTGTCACCCTATTGTATAAAAAAAATGAATTGGCTTTTCTTAAAAATAGAAAGATATAGTTATTTTTAAATGTAAGGTTGGTAAGCGAGCTTACAGGTCTTATGATAGTTAATTGATTTAATAATGCCACACATTGACACTTGCAACCAAATTCATATAAAAGAAGCCAAGAATGAGTTGTCAGCCCTGTGGTGTAGTATTTGTACATGATGAGCCCAAAAAAAAAACAATACATTTCTTAGATTGGTTGGCTCGACCGCGGAAGGACCACGCTCTCACAGAACACCAGCGTAAAATAGCAGCCTAATAATGCTATGTTTCGTGTGGTGAGTGTAGAGAATCGGAGGCCCTTCTTACTAGAAATGAGGCATTCCATCGTACTTCACAGGGGTGACAACGTATCCACATATTGATTCTCAGCCGAGGATGAGTGAAGATGTCTATGCGCCACTGTATCCACTTACCATCAGATGGACTGTGTTCGTTAGTAGCCCTAGTTTTATAAAAAAAAAGTTTGCAGGTATTTTCACCCCAATTAATTCTATCTGTCTATTATAGTCACGTCCAATATGTCTAGTCTCTTGTCGTTAGTGCATTTGGATAACTAGTTGAAATAATCAAAAGGAAGTGTAGTAAAAAATTAAGGAAAGAAGTTGAAGTACCACCTACCGAGGCAGACTCATATCTTATACATCTAGAATTACCATAAGTTCCGTTGTATTTAAAATTAAAATATTAAGCTATTGCATAGCTTCTATCGCGGGCCTTGAGCGCGGGGACCGAATCCAGAAATTCCGTAACGGAAAAAAAACCTCACGCTCTCCCACTCCGACGGGCACGGAGGTGTGGCGTTGAAAGCCGTGCATCGTCTAACGTCGTTTCAGTTCGGCAGACTTCGGCACTCGACAGACTTCGGCACGGTGTTTGTGTGCGTGCGACTAGACGTATGCGTGTACACTAGCTGCTAACTCAATGATAAAAATTCCTGAATAACCTACATGTATTGTAAGATATTAAAAATATTTTAAACAATATTAACTTCTCATTTATTCAATAAGAGAAAAAAAATTGTTTTCTTATCGGTCACCACGCTCAAAAAGTGTAACTTGATTTAATATCGAAGACTTAACTGCATAAATAAAATAAATAAATAATTGTAATTGCATAAGTTGATAAAAAATGCTATGCAATAGCTTTACCGCGGCAGTCACCCAGTGCCACACGTATTTTTTTTAAACACAATCGTTACCACGTGGCATAGTCCACTGCTGAACATAGGCCTTTCAACTTGCCAAATCAACGATATATATTAAGCGCGTCTGATCAAATGAAGTCTCAGATAGAGAAAGAATAAGTGAATGAAAAATGGTGTCAGTCAAGAAATTTTCAGTAGCAGCCCGGAGTCAGAGAGTAGAAGTTACGTAAAGCCGTTGGTTCTGCGCCTAATCTATCTGACGTCGTGTTGGTTTACCGTTCCATCGGGCTATAAGAATGACGTAATAGTGAATGCACCTGTTTTGCGCACACAATCGTATAGTGTATAATCCTGCTCTGCGCTATGGCTAGTCTCCATTGAGTTTTTCCAAATTATTATTATAATTTGGAAAAACTATATAGATATAGTTTTCTCATCTGGTTGGGTTATATAAACATATATTTATAAATTAAAATGAAAAGATCATACATAAATATCAATAAAATAAAATAAGTACAAAGACACATAAATAAATTAAGGTCCAACCAGATGGAAGACTTCAGCAGGGGAGACCGAACGGCCGAGGGTAAGGGGGAACGGGAAAAAACCGGCGGACGATGCGGGCGGTATCGAGGAGCACCGCCTTCTGCATTTGTGCCTGAAGCGGTCCGTCACGGAGTCCCAGTCGCCTCACATGACCCGAGAGGCTAACTGGGATTAGCCCATTCGCAGAGACGACTACAGGAATAATTTTGGTCGGCAGACCACCCCACATGTCGGTCACCTCGTAAACAAGGTCCAGATATTGTGTTTTCTTATCTGATTCGGTTTTCACTAGGTTCTAGTCATATGGAACGATAATGTCGACCAAAAATATCCTCGACTGTGTCCGGTCCATCAACACAATATCAGGCTTATTCGCAAGAACAGTCCTGTCTGTGATGATGGCCCTTTCCCAGTAGAGTCTAGTGCGATCATTTTCGAGCACGGCTTCCGGCTAGTACTTGTAATACGGCAATTTCCGGTCCAAGAGACCGTATTTTAGAACGAGCTCCTGGTGTAGAATCCTGGCTACTTGGTTGTACCTGTGTGAGTACTCTGAGTTAGAAAGCGTCGAACAACCGGAGATGACATGCCTAAGTGACTCACCGGGATGGCGACAAGCTCCCAGTGCCATCCTTTAGGATGTATCTCCGTTAGATGTTGGTATTAATAACCCGATCCTGTATTGCACATACAAAACCCTCGGTTTCCCCGAAGAGGTCACCGAAATGTAGCCAGTGAGAGAGGTGACTGTATCTACGAAGGGCTCATGTAGAGCGCTGTTTTACCTCCCGTGGAGCTCTTTCTCCTTCCATACGGTCTCCTGGTCGGAAATGCTATGTGCTGCTGGGTCCTGCCATTGCTCGTTGGCTAAGGATAGAGGGGATATAGATTGTGATTATTTAAGTTTATTGCAACGCTTGGCGGGTTACTTAGCAACCGCAGTTTTTTTATTATGTTGAGTTGATAAGAAAGATACTATTCGTCTCTTATTTCAGTTTCCTTGTGTCGTATCATAGAGCACACACGTGAGGGTACATATTTAGTGAAGGCTAAGTGATTAATTGCAAAAAAATATTTTAAATGCCGATAAGCCACTACAGGCATTTTAAGCTGGTTTAATCTTCGTTCCGTGCGTAGCGTAGCGAGCGCTAACCATCTGAGCCGTGGTTACTCAGATGGTTAGCGCTTGCTGTAAATTTCACAGTACACGAGCAAACCGGGTTCGATCCCCGCCGGCACCAATGAAATTGTTAATTGCAATTTTAAGTGCTAATATACCACGTGCTCGGCGGCGAATGCAGCGCGGCGGACAATTCCTTGCCCTGAAACTCTCTCAGAAATGAGCGGAGGCCTGTGCCCAGAATTGGGACGTATATAGGCTGTAACTTTACTTTAATCTTCGTTCTAGTATTATGTTGTACACGTAAGATGTGTTGTAGTCTAAACGGGAAGGAGCACTTACCTTAAAAATGTCGTTTTATACGCGAAAACAATGTTGGGTACCCGCTGGCGCCCATGAAGTTGTTTATTAGTTGTGTTTATTATATTGTTATTGCTGTCTTACCACTGCAAGGGTTGATTGATAGAGAATGCCCAAAGACATTTATTCCACCCTTGTATTTGGAATAGAATAAAATCTAAACAGACAAACAAATGCAGAGTCTATTTACCTTGAGGATGCCTCGTTTAGAGAGGAAAAACGTGACGTATTATCGACATTGGGTTGTATTTCCTTGTGTAATGGCATTGGAGTTAGTGGCGACGGGATGAACGGAATTGAGGCAGGACAAAAGGTGCTCTTTAAAAATAGGTAAAGGGTAATCTCCCTCTGGTTGTGTCAGATTGTCCTCCCAACGGAATATGCGATTGAGAGAGTAGAGAGTGCACGTGTGCTTACACAGACACACTTAGACACTACAATCTTATCCTGCGCAGATAACACATCGTTTTATTTTATACGCATATCTTAGCAAATTAATTTTCAACATCTTTAATTTATTTTGTTTCTCGTTTGTTACCTATAAACTAACTTTATTCGACCCCTAATTACATAAAGAATCCTTGTTTAAGTTTCCAATAACATTCAATATCACATAATTGATAAATATTTGATACTTTTAAACAAAAAAATATAACCTAAAATTATTAGTTTCCAAATAGAAAGTGTTATATTAAGAGCATACCAAATCTCATCAAAACCTATTTTTATATGTAGTTATATGTAAGCGTCGTTGGGAACGTTTATAATCATCACCCCACCCCAATCAACTTAGCAGCTTATCAAAAGTCCATTGATGGGAATATTTTAAACGAGAGTATCTTTCAATAGAAAAGTCCGTGTAAAATGGCGAAACTAAAATTTTGAGTACTGAATATGACATCAAAATTTTGCGGAGACTGTGGCGCTACGAATAAGGGACTTCTTTAGTTAGAAGGACTTGTAAAACCACAGTTTTAGTCAGAGACTATTTAGAACACTGATAGCGTTTATTTGGCCAACTACGTGGTAGAGCCGTGCTGCAGCTATATTACCGGTATATTTGTAGCACGAATGGGTCGGCTCGACCGGGGAAGGACCACGCTAACACAGAATACAAGCAGCGTCAAATAGCAGCTTAACGCTGCTGTGTTTGGTTTGGTGAGTGTAGAGAACCGGAAACCCTTTTTACTTGAAACGAG